TCGCTGACATAAAACAAGTTTTATTCTTGAAATTCGACCCTGTGTCTTAGTGTTCCCACAGTTCTTGACAGAGTGCTCACGTTTATTGAAACCTCGCATAAATCAAGAAATAAGTATGTGTACAAAGTGTACGAAAGCATTCCTTTATTTGACCTTATACGATCACAAAAACAACTTTTTTAAATCTTTTTTGGGGTGGTCCTCGGGTAAGCGCCCACCCCCAATTTTTCCCGATTTTGTATGTTCTGGCCCCTGGGCGCGTGCCCGGGGTAATACGGTACTATAAACAAAACTATATATCTTAAATTTGATAACTAACGGGAACTGTGCCATGCATGGCTTGTTTTCATTCATTTTGGCTATCCATTGAGGCTTTTAGCAGGCAATGTGTTAAAATAATGAAGTTATTACAAGATAAATCTGTGGAGTTATTGTATTTATACTCTTTCAGGTTTGATAAACTACTGTACCTTGGTGTGAGCAAAGATAAATCATCACAGTATAAAATTGTCATGGCTCTGACAAGAAAGTAAGTAATATTTAACTCTCACCTAATATTCTTATGATCAAAGAGTTTAGTATGAATTACTTATACAGCCAAATCATTTTTCATTTGCAGGTTTAAACTGGGTGAAAGTTGTAAATTAAAGGACATAGTGGATCAATGTCCAATGAATTTAACTGGTGCTGACTTTTATTCACTGTGTTCAGATGCAATGCTGAATGCCATGAAGAGAAAGATACATCAAATACAGATAGGTAAGAACAATAACAATAGGACTATAGAAAGTGGTAGCTGTTAATTATTATGTTTATTTAATTTGTCTGTATAGTAAGTTTCAAATAATGCAATGGAATTCAAAAGAATTCTTCATAATTTGATTCAGTGGTAATTATATAACTTTCAAATTTTCAGGAACAACATGTTCAGTTTTCTATTTGTGTTGTACAAAAATGATATTAAAGGCACATAGGATGGGCTTGCAAACATGCAAAGAAAATAATGTTTGACCATAGGAAATGTTTTTCTGTCAACTAAATAAACATTAAATTTGCAGGACTTTGCTTGAAGTCTTGGTCACATTTTTCCCATGATGCAATATGTAAAATACAGTGAAATCGTCACATGCTCATATTAGAGTTACACAGAATAGTAAATAATTATATTGCTTTTCATTTATTATACAGTTGATTCTTACTAAATTGAACTTGATAAACTGGATTTTATTGAAATACCGGTAATCACTGCTGTTTTGTTTTATATATTTATTGTCTGTTTTGTTCCTAGGCGAATGCAGCGAATCAGAGACTAATGTATCAGTAGAACAAGATGATTTCATGGCTGCACTTCATTCACTCACTCCATCAGTTTCTGATCAGGAGTTGAAGCACTTTCAATTTATTCAACACCAGTTTACTCAGAAATGAGAAATACTTCAAGATTGAGGCTGGTAGCTGGTAAATTGTGAAAGGGAGGGGGTATTTTATCATGAAAGTGCAAAAACGATGATTACTAAATGTGCAATATGTCAATTTCTAAATAATCTTTTACGGTATTTATGGTATATTTTAATTTACTAAATATTTTTTATGTGGTATATAACATTCACCTTTATTCACAGAGAGTATATACTGGTAATGGGATAGTATAAGCTAAAGAAAATTCAAAGTTCATATGGTGTATTAATTATTAATAATTGTTGGTTATTACCATACCCACCTGTAATTTATGAAGGTGTGCGACACCCAACCTTCTAGATTTCAACAGTCAGTGCAACATCTATTAACAAGTTTTATGTGTTCATTAGCACCACTTATAATTCTTGGTTTCATATTCCAAGGTGAACTAGCATACTAACCAACCATTTAGAACAAACTATTAAATTAAAAAACAATATTCTTTTGGTGCATTATCACAATTGGGTCATTTATTCATGGTTATCAGGTTTCAAATTGAATACGACGTTACTACACAAGTTGTAGCTAGGAATATCCATTTCTTAATACCTCTGTTTAACAACGAGTCTGGGAAATGTGGTTTATAGTACATCCAACAACACATTGTTATATTTGATTTATTGTATTATAAGGATATTGGTATTAAATAAAACAATTTTTGACTCGTGTGCGAAGCACACAATGGTATTGGTATTTCAATTTCAATGGTTTTGGTATTTCAAGTACTATTACTTCATTACTTTCCAATGAAACTTGGTACATAGATGCTCTAGAACAATCCAGAGACCTGATTAATTTTGAGTAAAAATGCGTGCATATTAATCAAATAATTTGCATAATTAGTTAATTTTTGGCTTTTACACTGTATTGCAAGTACTAATCATCCCATTTCAATGATTCTTGGTACATAGATGTTCTAGAACAATGCACAGACCTCATTAGTGTCAGCTTAAAATCAGTGCATATTAATTACCTAATTTGCATAATTAGCCAATTTTCAGCTTTTATACTGATATCACATGTACTAATTATTCCATTTCAATAAAACTTGGTACATTGATGCTTCAGAACAATGCACAGACCCGCTCAGGTTTGGGTTAAAATCAGATTATATTAATTACTTAATTTGCATAATAAATCATAATTTTTGGTTCTAATCACATTTCAATGAAACTTCGTACATAGATGGTCTGTGACAGTACTTATCTTAATTCAGTGAATATTTAGTACATATATACTCTAACACAATATGATGATCGAATTAGTTTTAGGTTTATATACGTCTATATTAATTACGTAATTTGCATAATACAATACGTCTGACGGTAATTCGGGAATAGGAATTGCTTAATTTGTATAATTCATTTGGTTCATTGAGCTAATCCACAGACAAGATTAGTTTAATGTTTATAAACATGCATATTGATTATCTATTATTAGCCCATTT